GAATAAACAACAATAATAACTTTATTGAAAATAGAATATGTTTTTGTTTACAAACTATGAGTTTTAGGACATAAAACCCAACAACAGTCTTATTCTACGTTCATGTCTTCATGAGTTCCAAGCGACGTAGTCTTAACCCGCATCTAAAGGCTTGCCCTCCGATACCGTCCGCTAACCTATGCCCAAGACTTCATGCATTCCAAGCGGCATAGTCTGAAAACCAACATCCAAGACTTCTTTAGTTCAAGGAGATGTAGTCTAATCCTGCATCAAGGATTTTCCCTATGATACAGTCTGAACACCTAAGCTCAAGGCTTCATGCATTCCAAGCAGCGTAGTCTAAGTCATGAGCACGTTGTACCGTGGGAGGTCTTAGGAGTTTTTGATTCTTGGCTAGGGCAACTTACTATCCTCTTGTTCCATAGAATGACACTTTCATAATTATCCATATCATCAGAGTAATTTGGTAATTTACAACTTTTAGAATATTTTATTACCTTCTTCTTAGTCATTTTTTGGTCCTTGAGTATCTTGAAATTCCCACTAGAAGGAATTAAATATCTAAAAAGTTCCTTAAAAATTGGAAAGTGACCTTTTTGTCCTTTTCGCTTAGGCTTTTATTCCCAATACTTCTCCAAAGGCCTTAGTCCTTAGAGTTACTCATTAGTGTTTAGAAATGACTTGCTTAAGACCCTTTTCCTAGCTTAATCCTCTTAATTTCGTTATTGGATCCTTTTGGTCTTACGTGGGTGGCTTTGCTTCATTTTTTGGGTGTTACACCTTCTTACCTCGATCGACCACCAACAAACAACTAAAAAAGAAACGTAGAAATTTAAAATAAACAGACGACTGGATTCCTTAGGATGACACCCTCTGTGACCTCATAGTTCTCGAGCAGCGCTTCTTATCTTGACCAATAGTCAACAAACAATTTAAAACTAAATGTAGAAATCCAAAATAAACAGACACGACTGGACGCCTTAGGACGATCCCCGCTGTTACTGCATAGTTCTCGAGCAATTCTACTGCAACACATGTTCATCAACAGCTCGATTCACATGAGTTACCACTAACATAGATATTTTGCTTCGAAACTCGGTCATACAACAAAAAATTTCAAACATGGCAAGTAAAACATGTGAATCAAGTATATTTTACAACACAAAATATCAAAGTAAGTTTTCAATAACAAAAGCACATGTACTTAAAACTGACTTAGAAAAGGGTTCCTTGTTGTCTCGAGCCTGCTGGTCTCGTCCTCGATTGGCCTGCAACTTCTTATTTGGCCAAAAAAGTTAAAATAATCTTGATAAGTAATTAATTTACTTAATAAATAGCTAACTTGTCATTCACAAGTTTATTACTTATCATTCTAGTTGTTCTTAAGGTTTATTCTCAGTTAATTCCTAGTTTCTTTTACTTGGATCATTTGTAAGTTAGTAAGATATTTCAATTACCTCTCCTTAGGTTACTTCTATATGGTTATTTAGAATTTTAAGACTAGTATGTAAGACTCACTCTCAATCAATTACTGTCCGTCTACTAATTTCTTTAGCAATTACTGTCCGTCTACTAATTTATTTAGCAGCATGTAACATCATACATACCAAATGAGAGAAATACTCATTGTTCCTAACTTAGCACGCATCGCGTCGGTCAGGAACTCTGCGAGGATTAGTAGACTACAATACTCATATTTTAAATCTTCCAATAATTTGTTTTGCGATAAATGAAAATGCAGCAAAAATGAGAATCAATATTTGGTTTACCATGGTTAAAAGAAATATCTCTCTGAAAGCACAAAATATTATGGACAAGGTCAACTAAATTGACAAGCATTGAAAGACCTTGATAGCATTTCTGACGCTTGCCTATTGTGTATGTATGTTACGTGAAAAAATTTAGTGCATCTAGAGATATTTTTGCCCGCCATAATCTAGCTTTGAAGCCCCAAAGCCCCCCATCTCCCTTATATTTCTTCTTCCCACATTGCTTCCCTACTCCTTCATTGGCACCCTCTTTCTTCCATTTTTTGTGTTTTTCTCAGGGTGAATGGCTATCCATTTTCAGTGTTTGAGGGAATTTGCTACTTTTTGGGTTTTCTCTCTTTTTAAATATCTTTTTGTTTCCTTTGTTCATAAATTATGTTGTCAGTTTAGGTTCATTTTGTTGGTGTTATTATAACACGTGCGGAAGAAATTTGGATCTTAGGCACTCTAAGTACATCAATTATAGTAAATTAGCTAGCATGTTCAAAAGCTTTGAAACTTATTGAGTTTGAATACTGACCTTTTGTAGTTCAAATTCATTCTTCCAAACGAATGGTTTTGAACCACCGCTAGTGTCTTTCGTACTATTCTCCGACCTTAGAATAGGATTGTGGAATCCGGTGAGTGATGAAACTTGATAGAAATTTAGTATAGGTAAAGAGAGAGTTTTGAGAGATTTTTTCAAAGTTTTTGAAGAAGAATTTGCATGTACATTGATCACTCTATTTATAGAGTCATATTTGCATGTTCATGCAAATTTGAGATTACCAAATTTTGGCACTCAAAATTCCACCCTAATTTGTGGGATTATGTGGCAAGCATGCAAGTTTGGTTAAACCATATATTGACCATCAATATTCCACTAACTCAAGCATGAATTTTTTCATTAGGTGGAGTAAACATTTTGACTTTCTTTATTTAATCTAACAATTAATTACAAATCAAAATAATATTAAATGATTAATTAAAAAATTTAATTAATATTTAACATTAAATAAAATGTCAATTCCAATTAATTCCAGCACATATTCATTATCTATCACTATTCATAATTAAAATATTTAAATCTTATTTAAATATCTCCAATTCTCTCTTTTTGTTCAATTCATAACTAAAAAAATGAGGTTAAATATATCGTATATATTTAACGTGTATTCTGTAATTCTAATTCGAAAACTTTGAACTCACTCATCACACTGTTCTAAGGTTTCGTTCGATATGAGCTACCAGAGGGATCTAATGGACCTACATCTCATGGGCTCCAACGATCCGAGATTAACCGGCTAAACTCATTAACCTTGTTATCCAACATTCGTTCACTACTAGGACACTCCATTGTAGCCTAGTTGTTGCACTCCTCTCACTATAGATATATTTCTGTCCATTTGATATAACCATAATTAGTAAGTCGATCCTTCACAGGTTGATCGTAACTAGAGCTGGGTCAATTTAAAGTTTTACCCCTAAAGTTACTTTTTGTTCCTTAAGTCTCACTGATCCTCTAATGAAAAATTGGTTTGTGGTTCAACCACCAAACCGAATCCCTCTCAGGCCCATGAGAGGGTGGGGCTCCTCGTTCAAGACTTGGAGTCAGTACTTAAGGGAACAACCTCTCTACTAAACCTAAAAGTGGGTAGGAGTGTTCCATCATACACCCTATGTCCTCAACTATTCATCCAGTCTTACCCTTAAAATGGGAGGCTTAATGAGTCGACGAACTCGGGCCACTCTCACCCATGAAAATCTAAGGATAATTTTGAATAAACTAGAGTTCATAGTTAGCTCAGGATTAAGATCGAGTTACCTAGGTCATAAATGAAAAAATCAGTCTCAATAGTAAACGACATTATAAAGTGAGAGAGGTTTTTTTCATGGTCCGATCTTATGCAATACTCATTGCATAGGATGCTCCCATTCACATGTCTCCAGATGTACAATTTAGTGATCACATTGTTTATATCATATACAAAAGTGGGTCGCATCCATAGTGTCCCCAAAATAAGGTACTCAGCCTTATCCCTGTACTATAAACCATTTTGACTATATACTTGAACTTGATCCACTCTTGTGTCTGTACATATAGTTCAAGTAATCATACTATAGCCAGAGTGTTCTTAGTTTATTGGATTTAGATTAATGATCGTAACATTTACTTTATTCAATAGCAATCTTTTATATTTATTCAATAGCAATCTTTAATAAATAAATATCAATAATAACTTTATTGAAAACAGAATATGTTTTTGTTTACAAACTATGAGCAATATAGGTACTGTCAATATACTTCAAACACCTTAAAAGGGAAACCAAAAATCAATTCGGCTCAAAGTTGCATTTACATTTTATTTCAACGACCCGAAGCTACCCCTAAAAATTACTATAACATTATAACTCAATTCAAGGGTTTTGATCCAGTAGAAAAGGTTGGACGATAATATTACCTATGAAATCTCATCGAGAATGCTTGATTAAGACTAAGTAACAACGTTAGAAAACTCAAAGATACCCCAAAAAATGAACTAAAAAATTATAATTCACTGAAAATTATTAAAACATTATAACTCAATTCAAGGGTTTTGATTCAATAGAAAAGGATGGATAATCTTACCCATAAAATGTCATCAAGAATGCTTGATGATTAGAAATCACGAACCTTCATAATAGTATAATATTGTCCACGTTAAAAAATAAGTTCTAATTGTTTTACTTTTGGTTCCGTAAAAGGCAACACACCCTAGACATCACACCAATGGAAATAGTAATTCTTACGTATAACAATAAGCAGTTAGGATTGTCTATTGGCTTGTTGGCTTCATTCCCCTTTCCACACCCTATTGGCTTGTTGAGTGGGCATCATCGTATTGCCTGAAATGATTCTCACATAGGCTTGTAGTGGGATTTATTTGAGTTATCGGTGCTACTGGAGGTGCGTAGCCTAAGGTAGCACAACTTAAGGTGCGTCCGCCCTAGTCACTAAACCTTCACGAGGTAGGCTATCTTCACCACCACCTTTTCCTCTACCTCTAATACAGGGTCATCTCCTTCCTTGTCATTCTCTTTAGTGTCCTTTATGTGACATGATGCTAAAACCAATACATAATTTCTTAAGTCTATATCTCTCTAACATAAATTGCATCCTATCACATATAGTCACAACATATAATTCAGTAAACATGACATATTCATAAAAATACAACTAGGTAGAACATAATGCTTCCATAAATCATATAGTTAGAGCTCCACATATTTGATACTAAATTACATTCAATATTAGTAAACAAAAAAAAGTACATGCAACTAAAGACATTTCTTTATCTTATCTTATACCAGACATACCTGATGGTGACATGACATCGATTGTGAAATCATGGAACGTTGCAAGCCTATCTCTTAGGCAAGTCTACCGAATCTATAACTTAGAGCTCTGATACCAACGGTAACGACCCTAGATTTCTATTAGCCTAAAGTTTCCACCGTCATCATATCCTATGCTCTTATACGAAATTAAGCATTTAAACTTCATCTTAAAATAGTGGCATGGACTTACTCATTTGAAAGAGTCTTTAAAACAACATAAAGAAATAGTAACTAAAACCATTAAAACATCAAAGTAAAAATGCCCTATACTAACCTATGCCTAAGAAAATTAAATACTACTATTCTATGCACGTGTCATTATCTCTATTTGTGATGTCCTCGTCAGTTGTATAGGGGTGTCTAGCTCTTACCTAAAATAGAAGTAGCACAAGGCTTGAGTATTTTAAGGAATACTTGACCCCACTATTGAGGCTAGGAATGCAAACACATGGAACTAATGATCTTAAGAACCTATTGTTAAAAATATCATAGGGGTAGCACAAGGATAGTCAGGCCACTTACTTGGTTGGTATTGGCCGACATTTTCTTTAAACTCGAGTACGTTTGAATTTTGTCTCTCGAAGTTACTCCAAGTGTTGTCAGGAGTTGTTTCCTATTAAAACACCCATCTCATTTCGTTAGTAATTTACATTTCTAATCTAATTTAACTTGAACTTCATAAATAAGACTTTATACTGCACTTAAATATTTCTATTAGAGTAAAAATAAGCTTTGGGAGGGAAAAAAACGTAAAGGTCGTTATCAAAATTTCAAACCGAGCCTAATACGCCATTTTTTAGCCTAGGACTCCGAAATGCCGAACCGAAGGAGCCGGTGTATGCAATAGTGAACCTGTCGCTGAGGGACAATGACATATGAGCAGGTTTCTTAGTGGTTCGAGGCGCAGGTCTCAAATGTTCATGTGGGTTCACAGGTCTGTGTAGTGGATCCGTGGGTTGGACTATGTTCTGTGCATTTGGGCTTGAATGTGGGTTTTTGGAAAAAGCATAGAGGAACTAGACTACTGGACTGGTTGTTGGTGGGTATCAGGTTGTGGTGTTGGGTATCTAGTTACTATACCAAACTGGGTATGGGGTTGCTTGACTAGAATGAGGTTGCGGGTATTCGAGTTTGGGTCCGAGCAGGTGGACTTCATCTTCTCCACTCATTTCCACGCATTTTCCTTTCTTCATTCCTTCGTATAAAAACTCGTTGTCTACATCCTATTTCTTCTCCTTCATTCTCATGGTGTTAACCGTCTTTGTAAGTTTGATCCTACCCCTCTATCTCACTAGTGTTGTGTACGTTGGATCCCATGGTCGTCATCTCGACATCGTCATTTGTGCAGAGATGCCTTGCATTTACCTAAATAATAAGAGCAGCACATGTCTTTAGTATTTTAAGAAATACTCATTAAGTAACCCCACTACTAGTATAGGGTAATGCAAACACGTGAAATCATGGTTATCATAAAATATCATTTTATGGCCTTGGTCTCATATTCGTTTCGGGTAGAATTTGATGTGCAGTACTTCTCTACTCAAAACTTGTATACACAAACATTAACTTGGGCTTCAACTAGCATACGCTCACGCTGTTGGTATACCATGGAGGGAAGGGAGTGCACATAGTATTGTGGTGTATACAATATCGTATCATAACATCATTGTTAACATAAATGTCGTAAGGTACGTGTCCGTACTATTCATGACGGGGAGGTATTTCGGTACACATGAACATATAATATGAATTAGATCCCAATAGTTTAAAATAATGGCATATAACTATGAATAAGGTAGTGTACAATGCAATACCATACTTTCATATCATGTCACGTTCCTCAATGACATAACGTGTCAATATGATATTCTATAACTTATATATCTCATCATTACAACAAGTCATAACATAATAAGCAAATATAACAATCAAAAGGTATGACACTTGTAACCGTCACTAGGCATGCGCCGACAATTAATCAAACAAGTCACCTCTAATTTACCTTCAATTCATAGTAAGCTTATTCCCGCCGCTGAGCTCACAATTAATCAAACAAGTCACCTCTAATTTTTACCCTCAATTCATGGTAAGCTTATTCCCAACACTAGAAGGATTAATCAAACAAGTCACCTCTAATTTACCTTCAATTCATTGTAAGCTTATTCCCAACACTAGAATGAGGGTTTAAACCTTCGACCTTGTGGTTAACAGCCACACAGTGTGGCTAACTGTGCTATTCCAGGTAATTGTTTGTAATACCTCAAGCCCACCAGACCCTTATAAGAAATGTTTCATCCCTCTCCAACCAATGTTGGATCTCACAATCCACTCTCCTTGGGGGCCAGCGTCTTCGCTGGCACACCGCTTTGTGACTAACTTTGATAGCTTTTGTAATAGCCTAAACCCACCGCTAACAAATATTGTCCGCTTTTGCCCATTACGTATCATCATCAGTCTCACAATTCTAAAACGAGTCTATTAGGGAGAGGTTTCCACACTCTTCTAAGGAATGCTTCGTTCCAATTTTCAGCCGCTAAAAAATATTGTCCATTTTTACTCATAACAAATCGTCGTCAGAATCACAGTTCTACAACACGCTACTAGAGAGATGTTTACAGACACTCATAAGTTATTCTTCATTCTTCTCTCAAACCGATGCGGGATCAAAGGGCATGGGTTCAAATCCCACGTCTGACTATTCAAATAAAGGCAAAATAAAAATACAATTATCACGACATGATTTTCCAAGCATCTAAGAAATTTAGTGTTCTTCAAGTTTACCCTTACGCCCGAATCTCAAGGACACTGTGATTTTCTGTACCGCCTTGGTGCATAACAAATGGTGAGTTGTGAGCCTCCAACAATATCTCATTCCATAATTCCTCAATTGTTGGAATATACAGGCGTCCTTGACATAACCCTTCAAAGAAACTGTGTACTCGACCTACTACTCATAATATATATATATATATATATATTTGGTATGTTTTGGTCTTCTTGTAAGAAATTCGACAACTAATCTCGAGTTGCAAATCATCTGATCTTCCAGGAGTCATATATGCCATATAGTCATATATTACATATTCGCCAACTCACCTATTGCAATTTGAATCGATTTTAGGGGAAATGGTAAGGGCATAACTAAATTACCTCATTTCTGGTATGCTTAGAAGAGTTAAACTACGTGGCACCAATGGTCCGGAATAGCTTAGATAAGCTAAATAGGGCACAACTGTAATAACTCAATTTTAAAGACTTCAAAGCACAACTATAATAACTCAATTTTCAAGACTTCAAATCCATTATTCATGACACATCGTGACACATAAAAAAATTCATAAAATTTGGAACAAGATTCGAAAACTATGTACAACAACTCGTAACACATAGAACTGACGTGACAAAGAAAAATTTTGATAAAAATTGGAACGAGATTCGAAAACTATGAACAACAACTTGTACACATAGAACTGACGGCTCGAGACGACCCTCCTCTGTGACCTTAACTAACAATTAGTGATCACCCTAAAAGGAAAAGTAATATCTAGTGCAAATAAATAAGTAACCTACTTGTAGGCGGTAATCGAATCCTTGTTCGAGCGAGTTGCCACGGGTTTTTCTCTAAGTTATAGAAAGTTCAAGTGTAGATTATATGTAATGACCCGTTTTCTAGGGACTTAGAGTCACTAGAATATGCATGATGTAACTACTTTATGCGAAAATATTTTTTACATTATGTTTTTGTATTGAAGCTACCCCTAAAAAGAACACAATATTATTATTAAGAATGCTAGATTAAGACTATGTAACAATGTTAGGAATCACGAACCTACATAATTATATGACATTGTCCACTTTGGTTGGAGAGTTAAATTTTTCCACATACTAAAATGGAATGATTCATTCCCATTGCTAAAAAGAGAGATGAACCTCCGACCTTATGGTTAACAATCATTAGCCTAGATATTGTCTACTTTGACACATTACATATCGTCGTCAACCTCACGGTTTTAAAACACGTCTAATAGTAAGAGATTTCCACATGCTTATAAGAAATGTTTCATCCCCTCTCCAATTGACATGGGATCTCACAATCCACCCCTTTGTGTTCCCGGCAATCTCGTTGGCACACCACCCAATGACTAGCTCTAATACAATTTGTTACAAACCAAGTGTACCTCTATCAGATATTGTCTACTTTGGCTAATTACGTATCACCATCAGCCTCACAATTTTAAAATATGTCTAGTAGGAAGAGATATCCACAACCTTATAGTTAATGTTTGGTTCCCATCTCCAATTGCTAGCAGATATTGTTTGTTTTGGCCTGTTACGTGTCATCGTAAGTTTAAAAGTTTTAAAACGCGTCTTTTAGGTTGAGGTCTCCACACCCTTATAAGGAATGCTTCATTCCAACCAATGTTAAGTCTTATAATAAATAGTTAGGATGGCTAAGTTGTTGAAGGTGGTTGAAGGTGTTAGGACGTAGTTTTGGTCCTCGTGAGTTGAAATCCCACTTTTGACAACTTAGAAAGGTTTTCTTTTATAAGGTGTTTTTTCCCACTTTTGACAACTTAGAAAGGTTTTCTTTTGTCAAAAAGGCTTTCTTTTATAAAGTGTTTTTTATTAAATTGGTTCAAAATTTTTACTCAAAAGATGTGGATTTTTGACAACTTAGAAAGGTTTTCTTTTATAAAGTGCTATTTTTTTTATTAAATTGATTCAAAATTTCTACTCAAAAGATGTTTTCCACTACCTTAAGAAATGAACTCATTCCTGTTAGTAGAATGTCCGACCTTGTTGTTAAAGGCCGCATGCTCTAACCAATTGAGTTATTACAACTAAGAGCTGTTCCAACTAATCATTTGTAATAGCTCAAGGCCAC